AAACTGTTTTGTGACTGTCCCCAAAGTGAGACTCCTTGGAAGCAGCCATTTCAAGAGATGGTGCATGGGAGGCCAGCACCCCTAACCTATGATCTGCCAGCCAGGGCTCCTCCTGTCCTGCGCACCCCTAACCTGTGATCTGTGGCCAGGGCTCCTCCCATCCCGTATACCCCTAACCTATGATCTGCCGGCCAGGGCTCCACCTGTCCTGTGCACCCCTAACCTGTGATCTGCTGGCTAGGACTCCTCCTGTCCTGCGCACCCCTAACCTGTGATCTGCTGGCCAGGGCTCCTCCTTTCCCACAAACTCCTAACCTGTGATCTGCGGCCAGGGCTCCTCCTGTCCTGTGCACCCCTAACCTGTGATCTGCCGGCCAGGGCTCCTCCTGTCCTGTGTACCCCTAGCCTGTGATCTGCCGGCCAGGGCTCCTCCTGTCCTGTGCACCCCTAACCTGTGATCTGCTGGCCAGGGCTCCTCCTGTCCTGTGCACCCCTAACCTGTGATCTGCTGGCCAGGGCTCCTCCTGTCCTGTGCACCCCTAACCTGTGATCTGCTGGCCAGGACTCCTCCTGTCCTGCGCACCCCTAACCTGTGATCTGCTGGCCAGGGCTCCTCCTTTCCCACAAACTCCTAACCTGTGATCTGCGGCCAGGGCTCCTCCTGTCCTGTGCACCCCTAACCTGTGATCTGCCAGCCAGGGCTCCTCCTGTCCTGTGCACCCCTAACCTGTGATCTGCTGGCCAGGGCTCCTCCTGTCCTGTGCACCCCTAACCTGTGATCTGCTGGCCAGGGCTCCTCCTGTCCTGTGCACCCCTAACCTGTGATCTGCTGGCCAGGGCTCCTCCTGTCCTGTGCACCCCTAACCTGTGATCTCCCGGCCAGGGCTCCTCCTGTCCTGTGTACCCCTAGCCTGTGATCTGCCGGCCAGGGCTCCTCCTGTCCTGTGCACCCTTAACCTGTGATCTGCCGGCCAGGGCTCCTCCTGTCCTGTGTACCCCTAACCTGTGATCTGCCCGCCAGGGCTCCTCCTGCCCTGTGCACCCCTAACCTGTGATCTGCTGGCCAGGACTCCTCCTGTCCTGCGCACCCCTAACCTGTGATCTGCTGGCCAGGGCTCCTCCTTTCCCACAAACTCCTAACCTGTGATCTGCGGCCAGGGCTCCTCCTGTCCTGTGCACCCCTAACCTGTGATCTGCCAGCCAGGGCTCCTCCTGTCCTGTGCACCCCTAACCTGTGATCTGCTGGCCAGGGCTCCTCCTGTCCTGTGCACCCCTAACCTGTGATCTGCCAGCCAGGGCTCCTCCTGTCCTGTGCACCCCTAACCTGTGATCTGCTGGCCAGGGCTCCTCCTGTCCTGTGCACCCCTAACCTGTGATCTGCCGGCCAGGGCTCCTCCTGTCCTGTGTACCCCTAGCCTGTGATCTGCCGGCCAGGGCTCCTCCTGTCCTGTGCACCCCTAACCTGTGATCTGCTGGCCAGGGCTCCTCCTGTCCTGTGCACCCCTAACCTGTGATCTGCCGGCCAGGGCTCCTCCTGTCCTGTGCACACCTAACCTGTGATCTGCCGGCCAGGGCTCCTCCTGTCCTGTGCACCCCTAACCTGTGATCTGCCAGCCAGGGCTCCTCCTGTCCTGTGCACCCCTAACCTGTGATCTGCCGGCCAGGGCTCCTCCTGTCCTGTGTACCCCTAACCTGTGATCTCCCGGCCAGGGCTCCTCCTGTCCTGTGTACCCCTAGCCTGTGATCTGCCGGCCAGGGCTCCTCCTGTCCTGTGCACCCCTAACCTGTGATCTGCCGGCCAGGGCTCCTCCTGTCCTGTGTACCCCTAACCTGTGATCTGCCCGCCAGGGCTCCTCCTGCCCTGTGCACCCCTAACCTGTGATCTGCTGGCCAGGGCTCCTCCTGTCCTGTGTACCCCTAACCTGTGATCTGCCGGCCAGGGCTCCTCCTGTCCTGTGCACCCCTAACCTGTGATCTGCCGGCCAGGGCTCCTCCTGTCCTGTGCACCCCTAACCTGTGATCTGCTGGCCAGGGCTCCTCCTGTCCTGTGCACCCCTAACCTGTGATCTGCCCGCCAGGGCTCCTCCTGTCCTGTGTACCCCTAACCTGTGATCTGCCGGCCAGGACTCCTCCTGTCCTGTGTACCCCTAACCTGTGATCTGCCCGCCAGGGCTCCTCCTGCCCTGTGCACCCCTAACCTGTGATCTGCCCGCCAGGGCTCCTCCTGTCCTGTGCACCCCTAACCTGTGATCTGCCGGCCAGGGCTCCTCCTGTCCTGTGCACCCCTAACCTGTGATCTGCCGGCCAGGGCTCCTCCTGTCCTGTGTACCCCTAACCTGTGATCTGCCGGCCAGGGCTCCTCCTGTCCTGTGTACCCCTAACCTGTGATCTGCCCGCCAGGGCTCCTCCTGTCCTGTGTACCCCTAACCTGTGATCTGCCGGCCAGGGCTCCTCCTGTCCTGTGTACCCCTAACCTGTGATCTGCCGGCCAGGGCTCCTCCTGTCCTGCGCACCCCTAACCTGTGATCTGCCGGCCAGGGCTCCTCCTGTCCTGTGTACCCCTAACCTGTGATCTGCCGGCCAGGGCTCCTCCTGTCCTGTGCACCCCTAACCTGTGATCTGCTGGCCAGGGCTCCTCCTGTCCTGTGCACCCCTAACCTGTGATCTGCTGGCCAGGGCTCCTCCTGTCCTGTGTACCCCTAACCTGTGATCTGCCGGCCAGGGCTCCTCCTGTCCTGTGTACCCCTAACCTGTGATCTGCCCGCTAGGGCTCCTCCTGTCCTGTGTACCCCTAACCTGTGATCTGCCGGCCAGGGTTCCTCCTGTCCTGTGCACCCCTAACCTGTGATCTGCCGGCCAGGGCTCCTCCTGTCCTGTGTACCCCTAACCTGTGATCTGCCAGCCAGGGCTCCTCCTGTCCTATGTACCCCTAACCTGTGATCTGCCAGCCAGGGCTCCTCCTGTCCTATGTACCCCTAACCTGTGATCTTCCGGCCAGGGCTCCTCCTGTCCTGCGCACGCCTCCACACTTTACTGACACCTGATCACCTCCTCCACTTGGTATAAATAAAAGTGTGCCATGGTCCAGGGTCTTGGCTTTACTGTGGTCTCTGCTCTGCCCGAAGCAGGGATTGGCTGTCTCTTCTTTGGAGATTTCAACAGAGGTAAACAACAGACAGAGCTTATCCATTCTCTCTCATCCTGAGCCAGGAAGGGTGACACTGCTCTTTACTGTGTTTGCCAAGTAACCTCCATTTACCAGAGAGAGCTTCAGAGGTGCCACCGTCTCCCTGGCCACCCCCTCCTGCTTCTCTCTCCCCTGGGGAGCTCACACTGGCTCTCCTGGCTGCAGTCCTTGGGGTATGTCATCTGCAGTCTGAAGCCATGAATAACAGGAGCATGCAGCACCTGGAGAGGAGAAGGACCAGGAGGAAGAGAAGCTGTGTGAAGTTAGCTGTCCCTGTGTTCCTGTCCCCAGGGGTTCCTGTGTTCTGTGTTTGACACAATACTAATACTAAAGATAGAAGTTAACGTCTGTGGAGTGGTCCCTGGTCGGAAGACAAATGAAGTTAACATTAGAAAAATGAACCTTCCTCTCCTGCCTCTGATAGCAGAGCATCTTCCTTCTGGATTTTATCTTTTCTTTTTTCGTATTTTTTTATGTCTTCTTTGACCTCCCCGATAGACCATGAGCCCACAGATAAAACCAGACAGCGATGCGTGAGTGGCAGAGGTATCACCACCATCTTTACACAAGACGCCCTCACCTTGCTTACAACCAGGCAAAAGGTCCACTTCTTCAGCTGCAAGGTGGCCGATAATTCTGGTCCTTCCAAAGAGCAGCTCTCTCGCCTCCTCTACCCTCAGCACCCTTGGCACCCCGTGTGGGTCCCAGGACCCGTTCTTCCCGCCTGGCTGGGTCTGTCAGGTTCCCTGAAGGCCGCTCTCCACAGGGAAGTCAGAGGGCTCTGCTGAGTCTGGGAGAGCACAGCATTTCTCCGCTGCAAACCTCATCAAGACCCCTCGTTCCTTAGGAATAAAATCCACACTGTCTCAACAGCCTGCACGCCTGGCCTCCTGCGGCACGCTGGTTCTGCTTTGCCTCTGTTCTCCTCCCTAACCCTCTGCTCCGGTCACGCTGGCCACGCGGCTGTGGCGGTCCAGCTTCCCCTCCATCGCCCCTTTGGGCACACACGTGCCACCTTGTGTTTCCTCTCTGATCCTTCATCATTACAAACTAATGCACAGTCGACTTAACTTTTCTGTTCCTGCTCTGTGCTTCTCAATTTGCACACAAACTTTGCAAGCCAGAGGGCATGCTGGCCTTCTTATCCTGGCAAACCACTCGAAACCCAGCAGCTGCTGGGTTTTGGATTTTCTTGTTGAATGACTTAAAAGAAAAGTGATGCTAAAGATATTAATAACAGTGATCATAGCACTTACTGTATGACCAACAGTGTGTATGTATGCATCCCTGGTCCCGTGCTCCTGAGGAATTTATGAAGCAGGTGTTACGGAGACACCGTTACGGGAGGGGAAACTGAGGCTGAGAAACGCGGAAGTGAATAAAATTTAGTATTACTTAGAAGTGACATATAAAGCCATTAAGTGGGGCCGTGTCCAAGCTAGGAAGTGTTTCTCCTGTGTTACTGATGTGTTGGGATCGGGTGGGATTTAATTTGGAAAGGAGCTTTCCCTGTGTCAGTGTTTCCCGTAACTGCTGTCCTGATACCTGAATCACAGGCGAGTCCCGCGGTGGCAGCTCTAGGCTGCTGGCAGACTCCTATGTTACCGTACTGACCTTTGAATTACGTCACCTTATAGGAGTTGCTACTTGGTGTTGCCGACATATCCTAAGTAGTTTTAGAGAATTCCGGGAGCTTCTTCTCCACTGTTGTAAAATAAAATCCTGCTCCCGGGAGCTCCAGGCTCTTGTGTCTGTGTTTTTTCTGCTTTTGTGTCTCCAGCCCGTCCCCTCACTCTGCGATGCTCTCTCCTAGGAGAATGACATCAACCTGACTCACATCGAATCCAGGCCGTCGCGCGTAAACAAGGACGAGTACGAGTTTTTCACCCACCTGGACAAGCGCAGCGTGCCCGCCCTGCCCAGCATCATCCAGAGCCTGCGGCAGGACATCGGCGCCACTGTCCACGAGCTCTCCCGGGAGAAGAAGGAGGACACCGGTAAGAAGGGAGGCATCTTGCCACGCAGGTGCCTGCTTGCTGTCTTGGCAATACAGAGACAGAGGTGGTACCCACCCTGGACTATTGCGGGGATGAAGAGGGAGGATGCGGGTCAGGGACCTGCGTGTCGTGGGCACAGCCAATGAGTGCTTCTTCCTCTTCCCTGAGACAGCTGTTTCATTTCTTAGTTCAAATTCTGTGGCTGAAATTTCTATACATCTTTTGATGCCTGTGTTAGCGTATTCTGAGCTCCTGTCTCCAGAGGGGTGATGTCCAGGGTGCTTTCCACTGAGATGCAAACTCAGGGCAAGATGCCCAGACACCCCATCTCCACCCCCAGCAGAGCGCTGGCCCCATGCATTTCTCCCCATGTGCCAGTCTGCACTGGGACAGCCTGGTTCCTTAATCGGGCCTTGCTTTGCCATGGGCTCTGTATCTGTCTCTTTCACCGAACTGCAAGCTTCTTGTGAGCAGGGATCGCTGGTCGGCGATCCTCAGAGTTCAGCCCAAGGCTTGGTGCAACAGCAAGTGTCTGTGGGTGGGGATGACTCAGCCTAGGTGCTGTCCAGGCTAGCAGTACCTGTCTCCCACAGCGCTGCCTCCCACTGTGTGGGCTTGGGGTGAAAGACTTGATTTGAGTCTTGCTTCAACTGCTTAGCAACCTGGAGTCTCGGACAAGCCCTGACTTGCATTAGCCCACCAGTTTGGTGAGGATCAGGTTAGATCTTGTATAAGCAGCCCTTGAAGCAGTCACGGGGCTGGCTGAAGGACGCTATGGCATTGCTATGATTGTGACCAGCCTCAGAAGACTAGAGAGAAACAGGTGACTGCGTTGTAAGGCCCCCGAGTATACTGGGATGGACAAGTCTCAATAGAGTTTCTCTTTAGAGCAGCGTTAGATTACAGAAGAATATACAGCAAGGGCAGGGAATCCCTGCATCTCTTCTCTTCACCAGTCATTTTTCCTATTAGCAACTTTCCTGAGTGCTGAACACTTTTCTAAGTGACCAGCCAACACCGAACTCGGTGAAGTCTGTGATGCACGTGCAGGGTTGCGCGCTGTGTGCTACTGGTTTTGACACCTGTGTGAGCTCTTACATCTGCATCACAACTTCATAAAAAAGGTGTTTGTTACCCTCCGAGTAGCCTGCGTACCACTCAGCCATCCGCCTGCTGGCAGCCGTCTGTAGTTCTGTAGTTCCGTTTCCAAAAAGCCACACAGTTGGTATTATGTTGTATACAATGCTCTGCGTGTGTACTCAGACATGGTACGCAGCTCTGAGCCCGCCACCTTGTACACCGGCTCCTTTGCTTACTGGTACACCTGTCTCCATTTACCTGGCAGCCCATCTCCTTTGATCGCTGAACAATATTCCACGGTGTGAACTTTAATACAGTTACCGACCTACCTGACCTAACTGACCAACGTCTCGATTTCTCCCAGTCTTTGGCACCTGTGCAAAAAACTACTATAAATGTTCCTGGGAAGGTTTTGGAGTGGATATTGGGATATCTAAGAGTGCAATCACTGAGATAGGCTTTCTTTTTGATCAAATGTTTTTCTGCTGTAAAATCAAAAATCGCTATCCCAAACCCTGAAACCCTTAAATCAAGGGAATTTTAAGCACCATGACTGAACTGGTTGATGGATATGAAGTCACCAGTTGGTAAGGGGATAAGTTGGGAATTCTGTTGCCTGGCAGGGTTATTCTGGATAATGATGTGGTACCACAGTTTTCAAAAAAAGCCCGAAGGAGGGTGTTGAAATATTTCTGCATTGGAAAAGGGATTGATGCTGAAGAAGACAGATACGCTTATTTTTATTTGAACCTGCAGAATTTACATGTGTATGGAAAAGTCACAGAGCACCCCGTAAACAAGGCCCTTTTTTTCTCTCCCTCTCTTCTTTTTTTCCCTTTTCCTTTCTTTAATTAATTAAATATTTTTTTTTCCTTTCTCTTAGGGAAACTAGGACCTTCAGCATGCTAAAGCTATGTCTAGTTCTCACACATCAGTTTTTAAAATAATCTTCCAATGGCATTTGAATAGACAGAGATGCTTTAAAATGAGCCCAAACCCACTTTGCAGCCCAGGCCACAGAGACACCGCCCAAAAGGCAGCTCCAAGAACTCCCTGAGAAACCGCTTCCGCCCTGGCTGTCCTGTTGGACTAGAAGCCTGGACTCACTTACCTCCAATCCTGGTCTCTCAAATTTAGCTCGGACCAGAGCCTGCCCTTGCCCAGAGACGGCAGCAGTGCAGATGGGCACAGGTCGCAGAATTTCCCCTCCGCTCAGCCCTTCCCTCTTCTCCCTCCAGCCTCCCGGTGGCCTCCTTGATGACTGCCCTCTCTTCTTTTTCCGGCCACCTGCTCCCTACAGGAGCTGCAGGGCCTCAGGACAAAGGGCTGCCAGATCCTGGGGCAATTCTGCCCCTGGTCTGAGCAGGTGGAGGCTGGGCCGGCTGGGGCCCTGGGGTCAGAAATCAAAGCAATTGACAGGCAGGCTGGCGCCCCTTGGAGCCAGGAAGATGCATGTGGGACCAGCTGGAGGGCTGCCGCCCAAACTGGATGCCCAGAAGGAGTTTCTCCATGGGGATGTAGCCGGACAGTTAGGAGCCAGGTTCCAGAACCAAGGTGTACCGTGCTTGGGGTGAGGTGGAGCAGATTTCTGACCCACAGCGTTGAGTGGGGGTAACCAGAGTGTCTGCGGTGTGGGTTCACAAACTCAGCTGTGCAGCGTGGAGGGCGTGAGAGTACACGTGTGGGTCAGGCCTTAGGAGATGTTGTCTATTCTCACCACCACCATGGCTGTGGTTTTAATAACCACAAAATCGCAGGGGTCACAAAAGCCAGGCTGGACGCCACTACTTCTTCAGAGATTCCGAGAGCAGGAATTGACCACCAGCTTTCACTGTAAGAACAGAGGCTGTGACATTCTGTGCCCTGTCCTTGAGGGGACGTGACCCCCAGGCCAGATGCACTCAGCTCCTTCTGTGCTGGGCACCCAGAGCCCCGGCACCATGAAAGCGAACGGGGCTCTGTTTTCAGAGAGGCTTCGGGGTGCGCACCCCACTTGCTGCTCAGAAGGGCAGGGCCCAGGTGGGAAGCTGGGAGCATCCTGCCCCTGGGGAAGGCAGAGCCAGCTAAGACAGACCCTTGTACAAATTCGCTTCCTGCCCCTGGCTTTCCGGACGCTTGGTCTCCCATCCACAACAGCTGTTCCCACCGGACCTCAGCCTGCAGCCGTGGCTGCTGGTGGCCCCGAGGCAGGCAGCCTGGTGGGTTTTTGGGGTGGCTTTTGTGAAGTGGAGTTTGGGCTCCGACACAGAGCTGTCGGGACTTGGGGAGGATAGGACAGGAAGAAAAGCACCTGGTAGGTCGGAACCTTTGATTCTTTCTCAGGACAAAACGCCCTCTTTAATGAAGGGCTCAGATCTTGGGGGAGGCTGACAGCAGGTTCAAGTGGGAGATGTGAACCCCTCAAATCAATTAAGCTAAACCACTTTCCACTCTGGTTTTTAACCATTCAAAAAGCCATGAGGGTGACAGAAAGTGAAAGTTTTTCAGTTTCTTAATTGCTAAAGTTCCCCACCCAAAACAGCTTAGGGGAAGGGTAATTATGGTGACATGTTAGAGAAACCCTGGCCTTCTCAACTGCCTCCTGGAGAAGCCCATGGGCTTTAATAGGATTTTAATCCAGAGCAGCTTTTGAATCCTCGAAATCTATTCTCCTGTTCCCCCCGCTCCTGGTGACCTCAAATCCTTCTTCAACCCCACATGAAAGAGCATTAATATTGGCCATCGATCCATCTACTAATCCTTTTACCTTTCCCTTTGAGTCTTCTGCATGACATTGCATCTCATGGGGGGCAGAAAATGCCTACACGGAGACGGACTGCAGCCCGGGGAAGCAGCCGGACAGCCCGCCTGCAGAACTCGGAGGTCTAGGGCACTGTTGTTGAGAAATGTGTCGCTCTGGAGTTATTTTCTAAGGGTAAAGGGAGGTGTTTATTAGATTTTGTTCATGTTGTGACAAATTTAAGAGTCCCGGCATAGAGGCAGAGTGAGTCCAGGTTCTAGTACAACTTTTTACTCCATTTGGAACAGAAGGGCTTGCTGGATGGTTATTTATGTCTGCCATCCATCCATCCATCCATCCATCCATCCATCCATCCATGCATCTATCTACCTATCTATCTATCTATCTATCTATCTATCTATCTATCTATGCATCTAGCTAACTCATCTATCTGTCTATCTATGCATCTATCTGCCCTGTGCACACACAAATGTGTCTACGTGTCTCTGTGCATAGCCTGTCTGTCTGTCCAGCCAGCCAGCCATCCTGCGAGCGCTCACTATTGCTGTGAGAAGACAGGAACGGTGTCGTTATACTGACCTTCCCTCTTCCTGCCTCTTCCCCACACTCTCTCCAGGTTTCTCTTTTCTGCTTCATTGTTGCTGCCCTGAGCAGCCGTGCTGTGACCGATGGACAATTCAGGTCACTGTGGTTTGGGCAAGGGAAGGAAAGGGTTCCCGGAAGCCATCTGAATCACCCCTGAGATGTGGGCAAAGTGGCGCTCACACGTGGGCCTGAGTGTGTTCAAGGAGAGAATTCTGCCTTTCCAAAGTGGCCATGGCTTGCAAAGAGTTAAGGTCTTTGAAGAGAAGCTGCTAGGACTGATGGGCAAGGTGGACAGTCCTCCCCATCCTGCCCACTGCACCTCTCTCCTCCCTCCTCCTCTGCTTTTCTACTGGGTCCCGCTGCCCACTGCTCTCCTCAGCTCTGAACTTCTCCCCTGTGCTCTGCTCCATCCCACTTGGGGCCCTCGTGGTCAGGGTGGAGAGGCATGTGGCCCAAGGTCGGCCAGTCTGCGCATAGCGTTCTTCAGCCAGGCAGGACGCGCTGATGTCACCCCAAGTGCTGCCGGCTGTGACTTCTGTTCCAGCATGCTGCCCGGGGAGGCCAGCAGGCCCATAGGGCCTCGGGGAAGGCTGGG